CATCTGAACTTCTTTAGGTTATAATGATCAGGTAAAATAAATTGTGTTTTCAGTTACTCTCCCAGAATACCTGAAGTAAAAATCTGGGTAAAGATGATTTTGGTTTACCTTAAAACTGATATCTAAAAAGAGTTGAGAACAAAAATGTCATCTTTTTTTGTAATGGTGATGGAAAATCTCTCTTTGTTTTCAATTGTCTGAATCACATCCACTAGCAGCACTCAGGAAAATGTGCAGAATGCAAAATAGTATTAGATCCCAAAAAGCATGTGGTACATATTTTATTTCAGAACATCAGTTATGCTACTGAAGTAGGATAGTGAAGTTGCCAGCTTATCAGACAATTATGCATAATTCAAAATTTCTGGAGACTTGAGTCTCAGGCTTTCTAGTTAGTTGTTCAGTGACTAAATTTTTAGATCACTTGCCCAGAGTTTGGTGCCTAGTTTCAGCGCAGTGCTTCAGGAGATACAACTGTCTAATAATGAGATTTGCAAACTGTGCTGAGCTACTTAAGCTAGCCAGTAGGAACTGTTATGAACAGAGGTGGTCTTAAAGTACTTACAACTTTAGCCCCAGTGGGACTCGCAACACTGAAGCTCTACTGTATAAGGTGCTATTATTCATTTCTCACAAAATGCATCTGGAGAAGCCAATGGTGATCCTTCCCTAACCTTTTATCCAGTAACTCATGATTAAAGTACTCGCCCAGGTTGCAGGAAAGGCAGATTCAATTGTCTCCTCTACTTAATGGGATTCAACCCGCCCCCCCATGTCCCAGAAGAGCATCATAATGGCCAGACTATAGGCTATTCTGAGTAAAGGCTTTCTCAGTCCCATGAAAGCTGTTTCATGCTGTCTGAAATAATTGAAACTAGTGGTAGTGCTCTTGTAGCTGTAATGGTCTAAGAATAATAAGAGAAGAAAAGCTTGGTGGGAAAAGGTAATGTCTCCTATAAGAACATCTGATGTAGCTGAAAGAAAAGGACAAGCTCAGGGTCATCTAAGACATTCCCCAGATCTACAGTAGAAATTTAATTTCACAATAATACATTTAATGTAAAAGTTGTAGGACCAAAGAGAGAATTATTATGGCACTTGGGAATGAGGACTTCATCCCTACTTCGATGAGTACTTAAAGTACATTACTTATTCATGCGATGAGGACATGACATTTAGGTAGGTAAGTTAGATGGCTCTAGCTCCATTGTTGTTTTATCCATTCACCATGTAAAAATAGATAAAACAGGACATGCAGCTGGAAGTTGTGAACTATTCTATTTTTTTCTAGCACAATTTTTAAATACTGTTCATACTTGTCAGTGCACACAGCTTTATGTCCTGGTGGCTTGAGAAAGATGTCCTCATCAAAGGCAATATCTCAGGTTTTGCACATGTGTTCAGTGGGTTATTTCAGACCATCCCACCTTCATTTTATGTGGAACACTGTCTTTTTCATGAAATTTCTCACACCAAGTGTCTGCTTCCTGCAGAGAACACTTGTTTTTCATCAGAGCTGCTTGAAAACAGTTTTGCATTCTGGGCTGGGTACTCTGGGATCTGCCTTTCCAGATACTCCCCTCCATGGTGGACACCTGCAGGGCTGTGCACAGGGAAATGTGCGGGCTGGGTGAGCATGGGGAGCATCAATGTGCCTGCAAGGACAATGAGTGGTGCTCATGGCACTGTCTCCCATCTTGGTTGGTCTGACTTCAGCTCAAAGTGACAGCTCTTACCTTCATCTTATGTTTTTCCTCCATTATTAATTTTCACAGGAACATTATACAAGCTCTTCTGTAAAGTCAGAGGCCATATGTGTTTTCTATGAGAGAATAAGTCAGGAGGTGTTAGCCGTAGTTTGGAGAATGCATTTATTGTTTTTCACAATTACGTACAGAATGCCAGTTAAACAATGTCCACCAGCCAAGATAACATCCCAGAGGTCCAAGAGTACAGCTGTACTATTTTCCAGACCACCAATCCCTCATTTACTGTTAACAATCTTGTCAACATTGCTAAAAAAATTAACATTTTCTTCTCATTTATCTTGCAGAATTGAGTACTGGTAGCTGTAGCTCTCAAATATTAGGGTAGTGCATAAAAACAGAGAGCTAATTAATTTTTTTTATTATTATTTTCTCTAGGATTGTTTTATATTTCAGCCTCACTTTTAACTTGAGGATTTGAGTTATATTTGAATCATACCCTTCCTTCCTGACCTGTCCTCTTTTGCCTGTCATAAATAGAAACATCTATACTATAGGAAAGACATGGGGTGGGGGGAATAAAATAGGATAAAGGATTAGGATAAAAAGTAAAAATGCTAATTCAGATTCTTTGCTTAATCAGGTACAAAAGTTCAGTTGAACAATGAGGTCATATAGGGAGTATTTGGCTGGAAATTCCATATTGTAGACCTTTAATAGAAAGCATAGAAGTCATAAAATTCAATCACATCAAGGCTTATATCTAATTTGAAGAAGAGTCAGCCTTCGAGGTCTCAATTTTCTTCTTATTTTGCAATAATGTTTATTACACAAACATTTGTCATTAATAGTAAGTATTAAAATCAGCAGAAAAACTCCATGGATTGGTCAAAAGGTCAGGTAAGATATGTTTATACAAAGTCCAAAGAAGCAAAGAACGCATTTCTTCTTTGCATTGCAGTGTCATTAACAAGGTCAAAATTTTGCACAGAGCCCTCTCACTGCTGCTACAGGACAGCTGTAAAGGAGGAACTTTTAGATCTGGACTTAGCATTTTCTAAAGTTGGAAACGCTTTTAGACCATTGGAAATCTTGTACTACTGACTTCTCAAAATAATCATGTTTCATATGCAGACTGTGATTTCCTGCTTACAGGGATGGCAGATGCAAAAGTATTGCAACAGCTTGTGGAAGTAGTTAGAGCTGAAACATGCACCAAATGGAGTTTTACTGAGACAGTGCCATTCACCGAAGACTGGGTGGGAAAATGGCACAGTGGCTGCAATCCACATAACAAAGAGGCTTACTATGAGCTATAACCAAAACCTTTAGAAGAGAAATGGGAAAATTTTACACTTAAAAATACAGAGGTTTTTTTGAGTCTATTTGATTTTGATAAAATTTTCAAACAAGTGTCGAACTAATGCTCTGTTCTTAGGAATGTGTAGTCATGTTGCTACATCAGGAATGCTACTTATGTGGAGCGTTTTTCATGTTGTCAGACTGTATTGTTAATCTCTATTATAATTTAAATTATTTTAATATTTTGTATTTTTCCAGTGCTATTGAAATGCTTTTAACTTGCTAAGACAACATATTTTGACATTAGCAAAGTGTGACAATTTGACATTATCAAACCAAACAATTCAATATTTCTGATTCTACATTTCTTGGAGCTTCCATTCTGTGAAAATTGATAACATTTTGACATTTCTCTCTGATTTAGAATATAAACACATTTTTATTTGTAAGAAATTTTCATTGAAAGGAAACTCCATTTACGGATCAGACCCTGTTGTGACTCATACTATGGGGAGGTAGCTAGCCATCATTTAGAAGCAGGCACCTCCAGAAGGTGATTCATCCAGTTCTAAAACAGGTGTTTCGGAGAGTTGCAATAAATCATCCACTAAAGGTGCCCATTCCCCTGCACTGATTGGGAAATATATTTAGGCAACTAGTTTAGACTTTGGCAAAAAACTTAGATGTCTGAAGTGGGACGGGAGTCCCATGCAAAATGGACCCATATTCAGAGGTAAGTTACCTATTACTACTGCAAGTAAGGGACTCTATGTAGTTATAATTAATGCACCACCCATGAGATAAGTCTATCTTTGAGTAAATGGTGGGAAGGGAGGGAGGGTTTTTTTAATTTACACTATCTTACAATTTCCTGGTAAGGTTTCTTTTGTTTATTCCCTTGCTATATTCCTTTTATTGCCTTCCTCTTTTAAGCTTAAAATCTAAAAATGCTGGCTCCCCTGAATCCATGTTTGCATTGCTTCTGAATTTGGCCTGATGTCTTTAGCCACACAAGTCAACTAATTACTTGAATCTAATCAATTGCCTGACCTGCAGAAAACACAGAGTAAAGAATCCTGATTAGCTGGTGAGGATGTTAGCTTTCCTTCTTCAGGACGCTCTCTAAGAGTGGGTTATGTTTTAAAAAGTAAACAAAGTCATGGGAAAACTAAGCTTTAGAAAAACACTCTTTCTGATCAGTTATTCTCTTGCTAGGAGCCACATGTGATAGATACCATTTTTCTTGAGCTGTAAAAACTAAATACCCTCAGCCATGTTCTGTGGTTTCCTCTCCGATTCCATTCAGAAAACTGCTCTCTCGGAGTATAATTGGGACCCCTGATGCCATGTTATACTCCAAAGAATTACAGCAAGAAGCAAACTTGTGATTTGTACTGTTCTGCACACAGACTACATTATGCAGGGCTATGGTCAAAATAAGACAGAAAAACTTGGGGTTTTTACCAATTATTTTCTTTCCCTATTAAGACTCTTGAGTGACCTGAGCTCTGCTGAATTAAATAAAAGATTCCTGCTGGTGCCGGTGACTCAGTCCATGGAGAACAGTCCCTCCTGCCTTTTTCACATGAGCAAAACCGCACAGCTCCATACCTCACAGAAGTTTGAACACTTACTTCAGGACGCCACTAAAATATTCTCCTTGACTGAGCCGTGCCATCAGCAGTCTATGCTTCATAAGCAGAGTACATCCAAGATTTCACGTATTTTGCCTCAGAACACGCAGAGAAAGCAGGAAACTTTTTAAATCTGTATTTTCACCAATGTGAACTGAAACATGGAAAAGCTAAAACTTCTCCATACAGTGAAAACAAATATAAACCCACCTTGCGCCAAACCCAGCCCTGAGCCAGATGGGGTCCCAAAGCCATACAGCTGCATTCAAGTAGCTGTGAGCCATCTGCAGGGCCCAGGTGAGAGGAGGATGTGCCTCCTAACTGGCTGATGTCCTGGCTACCAGACTGCAGCTGCGTCATGGCCCTCAGGGACAAAATACAGACAGAGAAAGGCCTTGACTGCTTGCTCTTGGGTCAGCAGTATGCCCATCTGGGATTTCCCAAGCACCCAGCAGTCTGTGGAGGATTTGGGACTTGGGCAAGCCTTGTGCTTTGGAAGGTAACAATATGCCCATGTGTGTTTGCTGAAAGTCTAGGGACTGCGTTTTGGTTTTTTAATTATTGTTAAAAAGTGCTCAGCACAGTTGCTTGTACAGTTACAAGCTCTGTGAGTTGCTGCAGTGTGCATTTCTGAAAGATGTCCTATAAAACAGATACTCTGTAAATGCCCTGATTCATTATGTAAAGCTGTAAAGAGCCAGTAATATCAGCTGCGAGTCAAAGCTTGTAGGCATTATATAGTCCATTAAAGAAAGACTGTGGACGCTGGCTCACCATGGTTATCGCATAAACTATGCAGTACTTGAGAATTTCCGTGTGAATTAGTGGAACAAAAGAGAATTATTTAGCACTCCTCATTAGTGGAATCATCTGGTATGAAAAAGGTAATTGTGGGGTTTCTTCCTCAGTTTGCTTGCTTTTTTACCATTTCTGTGATAGTTTGCAAACTTTTTGCTTAAGAAACCAATTTACTCATTTTGTTTCTCAGGATGTGTTTGTAAAATTGAGGGTGTCCCTGCAGAATACTTGATCTCCTTCTGCGGAGAGAACAAGTTTCCAAGAGGCACTGGGTGTCTTGTTGATCTGAAGAGTTGCAGTGATTTGCCTTTTCTTGGTTTTGCTTCAGAGACTTGCATTATGTGGGGCTATAACTGTGCTTTTCATTGCAGGATTACAGGACCACTGTATTGTGATGGCGTATGTGTAACCATGTAACCATTTTTCCGACCATTTTTCCTTGTACATAGCTGCAGTCATACTTTTTGGGGTTACATTATTCGGGTTTCATTTTTGAACAGGAGCCTTTGAAATAAAAGTCTTCTCTGATATAGAGTTGTCTACTGTCTCAGTCTTCCCAACTTTGTGAAAAAGGTTAGAGTGAAATCATTGAACTTAGACTTTATAATTTAACTGAACCTGTTAAAAGCTGATCACTTCTAGGCAAGTCTGCAAGCTCACGTTTACTATTGACAGTGAGAGCTGATGTTCGTGACACCCTTCAGGGAAAGCATCTTTCCTTGAGATAAAGCCCAGCAAAGCAAACTGCACACCTTTCATCACAGTGTGCAGTGGGAGCAGGTCCTGAGCCAAAGTCTGCTGACATCAGTTGAATCCTTTCATTTACTTCAGTGTTATTGTTTGGGCCCTACAGTAAAGTGAATCTTTTCCACTGCTAAGCAGCAAGCGGGAGAATCTGAGCTGTGGTAATGCAGAAGTATGGGGGAACAGTGCAGTGCTGTGAGGTCTGTCGGTATATTCAGAGGGGATGTCACTTGGGAAACCCTACCTGAGCAGCAGAATTGGTCTCTTAAAACCTGTTTTTCTGCCTTAGATGTAAAAGACACTGTCACTTATCGTCACAAAAAAAATGAGGAATTTAAGCAAAAACAGTTTTTGCAACTCAGCCAAGCAGCAAAGCTATCTAACCTCTCACAGAAAAATACTGAAAGCACTAAAGCAAATTCTGCTGGTATGATGACTGCCACTGTTTCCTTCAGATCATTTAAATCAGAATGAGACTGCATGTAAACAGCAGAGCAAAGCAGTAGAAGACTACAAAAATCAGTAGAGCTCTTCCGACTGTGAATCTGGCCCCAAAGGCACACTTTGAAACAAAGCGATAACTAATTTTTTTCAAGCTGGCTATTAAGAACAATCCATGACAACAATGGCTAATGGAAACAGCCAGTTCCAAAATGTAAAGCTAATGCATTACCTTCAAAAGAAATGGAGTTAATCAGTTATTACTGCTAGCTGCCCTGTTTGGGCACAGCTTCTGCTGGAATGTGCTCTCTATTTGGATTCATATAGTGTATCCTGTAGACTAGAGTGCTAAGAAGACTGTAGCACCAGTTTTTGTCCTGCTTTTGGAGGGGATTACTTTTTAATTTATATATACATATGTATATTTTATTGGTCCTTCCTTTTCACAGGAGAGATATTAGTTGCTGATAGTTTGAAAAAAAACATTAAAATACTAGACTGGTATGTGAGGTGATAATGTAGCTTATATTGCCTAGCTGTTATACCAGTTTCCTGGCCAGGGAGTTGCAAGGATTTGCTGAAGAATAATAATTCTAAATTTGCCATACTCATGAGTGCAATTAACTGAGAACAGACTTCAGGGAATAAGGAGTCTGCTGCTGCTGGCTAAGAAGTGATTAGTAACTGGCGTAAAACTTCACTGTTCGGGTAAATACAAAAATGAGACATTAAATATGCTAGAACCATCTAAGCTCTCCTTATCACTACTTATGACTACTGACAACAGGCGTGTTTGTGATATGACATGAAGCCAGAATTAACTTTACATATAGAATTTTCTATTCTGCTCACACTCTGTGGAGACAGTATTGCTGTCTGAGTGATTGGTTATGAGTACAGCTTTTTGCTTTGATGCACTCTTCTCAAGTCACATTTGCTTTTCACACAGTCTGTTTTCTCACAGTTCATGCTACCCTCATTAGTATTTTAATCAATGCTCCAAAGAAGTGTGGAGGAAACTGCTGGTTAACTAAAGCTAACACTCAAACATCCAGACCCTGGAGCTATGGTGAATTTGCTTCTGCTGTCTCTTGAGGCCTGCTCTGAGACCTGATTCCCCAACTGTACAGACACCTCAGGCAGCAGCCCGGCTGCCTGGCCCCAACGGGCAATGCCCCCGTGTGCTCACGGACACTTGGTCTCCCTGTACCTCACCACACCGCATCCCCCGAGGCTGTCGAAGGCAGTCTGTGAAGCAGCTGTGGGGAAGGAGGTGAAAGAGCACACTGTGCCCTTCCCTCATCTCCACACTGCTCTTTAGCGGTGGTGTGGATATAGCCAAGTAATCTGATCTATAGGTCTGTGCCTCTCACCCCTCACAGCCAAAACAATCCTTCACTTTATGCCTACTTTCAGTCCCAGAATGGTGCACTACTCAAGCTGCTATTTCATCTGATTTTTTAATGCATGCTCTCGGGGCATCTGGTTCTGGTCCCACTTTGCATTCAAATTAATTCCCAATTGTTGTGCCTTTCAACCATAATCCCCTTTCCTCTCTGTCATTTAGAGTATCCCATCCTTGACTTTTCTCAGGTTCCACATGTTTTTTTTTTTCTCAAACATATTTCTTTCCTTCCTTCTCAGAACAGATTCTTGACTTTCCAGGTACTCAAGCCTTCCCCCCTCCCAGGGTATTTCTCAGTATTTTTACCACCACCAAAGTTTCCTTTCAACTTTCTCTTTCACTATAGAGACAATGTCTGATGTTTTTCTCCCAAAGCATTCTCCCCATTTGAGGCTGGCTAGACTTCATGATCCAAAGAAAGAATATTAAACGTTATGATTTCAGAAGGTGGATTGTAATATAAGTTTTGAGAAAGATGTGTCTTCCGAGCCCAGTCTGAGTGGACAGGAAAGAAAACACATTTGTGAATAGGCACCAAACTGTGTGGTTTCCTTCAGTGCGAGTGCAAAATGTTTCTGCCCACGAATATGGAAAAATTGTTGTTGAGAGAAACCATGCTTGAAGCTTTAACCACCAAAGTTAGTTCATGGCATGACAAATTACCATTTATGATGATGCAGGGAGAGTAAGGTAGAAAAGTTGGGGAGTTTAGTTAGGTGTACGATCAGCCCACCATTTGAAAGTAGAACTATCCTTTTGAATGTAACTCTGTGCTTGCTGATACAGTGTAGAAACAGTTGTGGATGATCCTAGCTAACTAATGTAGTCCTGCTGATCTTGAGCTTGTGCCAAATGCTTCCTTGCCATGGACTTAATAACTCAGTGTCTGACTCTCCCTCCATCCCTGCTACCACACACAGTTTCTAACTAGAAAGTAGTCAGGTAGGGCTTGTAGTGTTGAATGGGCGATTCATTTAGAGCATGACTAATCTTCAGGTCTGTGCAAAAGCTTTGGTGAAAAGCGTAACTCATTTAGAGTCCTGGTGGATTTAGATACGTGCCAGCTGCATAAATAAATCTGTGTCCATGTGATTTAAGAGCATATCCGCTTCCCAGTCTCTTCCCCTGCCACCCTTCTTCCCAGGCACAGCAAATAAGTGACTTCCTAAGCTGCCAGGCTAAGTACTGGTTCTGTCCAGGTTACAAGCTGTTTCAAAGAGAGACAATATTTATTCAGGTCAAGCTGCCCCTCTACCTCAGACATGTTCCTGTTGATGTACAGAAAATTTTCAGGAGGTAGTAATTTCCTTTGGTAAACTAAGAGGAAGGGTCAGGCCCCAAGCTTTGATGGCAGTGGCAGGTCACAAGTCTTAGTCTGCTCTTCCCACCATATTTGTACAAACTGTGGAATTGTTTTCATAACTCTTAAATTCAGTTTAATTCCTACTGACTTTATGGAAGATTTGATAGGAAAGGATCTCTGTATTAAACCCTAACGAATATATCTTTAGGTTTATATATAAAGTGGTAATTTATGCTCTGCTGCACAGGTAAAACTCTGTAGTATCTTCACTAAATCCTACTGAATTCTTCTGAATTTTGGCAAGTAAGTTTTAGTAATTGCTTTCCTTGAAGAAAACCCTAATTATGCAGGGAAAAAGTCGTATCTAGAAATACATACATTTTTCAAGTTAGTGTTTCTATAATTTGTTTTATTTCTTAGGGGTTTTGGTTAATAGTGTTTCAAAAAGGGACTAACAACATCTTCTAAAGAAATTCAGGGTCTGACTCATATTGTTGGAAGTGGGGGATTGTGTACTATTGCTGCTTTTCAACATCACAGAAATTACAGGAAAACAAACCCTTTCCACATCTGAAGGCTACTGCTGGAATATGTATGTAGCATTGACCATCCACTCCTCTCATGTGGAGAGGAAATTACTTCACATGTGTTTATTCACTCAGCTGGTTTGGAATAGAGTGATTTACCTTTCTTAAGGCATAGACATACGTTCATTTAACAAACAACTAGATATTTTGAAGTTGAAGTGTTTATCAGTATACTGGTTTTTGCTAGGATACAGTTAAAGTTCTTCATAGTAGCTAATATG